AACACGCACGAAACCGAAAAATGCACGGGAAATGGACGTCCGAGCGACGGCTAGTCAGAGCTCAGAGGAGGAAAGGGTGCCGATGCCGCTGCCCTTCGCCCGTTTTCCCCCCTGTCGGCCTCCCGGGAGGCCCTGGTCGCCACCTCTGGATTCGCCTCGAAATCTTCGTCAGAACGCACTTCAGGAGAGGTCCGGGGAGCAGCGGTGTCGGAATCCCCAAGAGCGCCAGATCTTGCAGGATCTCGCAGGGCCAGGGGTGCACCAGCCCCGGCTCTTGCGCGCAGGATCATGCAGGATCTTGCAGGACCCTGCGACGCCCGACGGACCCAGGTTTGCACTGACCCGGGCCCGTGCGTCCCCGAATCCCGGCAATCTCAGCAATCCCCGGGTCCCTGCGCATCCCCGAGTCCCGGTCATCAGCATTTGGCTGCGAGGCGGCCCGTGAGGCCGGGCGCATCCCTGCGAAGAAGAAAAAGCACTTGCATGAACATGGACTTCCGGAGGCCGGCCTGGATTTCTTGGATCGGCGCTGGACTCCCTTCCTGGCGCGTTCCGTGCACCAGGGAGGAGGGTCCAGCGCCGATGCAAGACATCCGCGCGGACCTCCGACAGGTCCTACTCCTGCAGCTGCTTCTTTTTCTTCTTCTTCTTCTTCTGCTCACTCCCCGCCCGAGTTGCCTCAGGCGCGGGGGCCGGCTGAGGTCACGTCGAGGTGAGCTCCCCAACCAGCTGCCCGCTGGCAGCTGGCCGCCAGCCAGTCATCCAGCCTTCCCCCGCCCCTTGTTGATTCTTTCAACAACCAGACATGCAACGTCTCGGCAAATCAGGAAGGCGCTTTGTTCTGTTTGAGGCCTCTGGGGCCCTCAGCGGGCCCTGGGGCCGTCAGAAAACGGCTCGCGCTGAAGAACCAGCCTTGGGGAAGGGGTTGGGACTTCCGCGGACCGCGCACTGATCAAAAAAAAAAAAGACAGCGAATCTCAGGGTCCGCGATCCCCAGAAGTCCCCACCCTTACAGCCGGCCCAGATTCGTAGGTCGACCCTGCCACATCAAGGGCACCTTTGTGTCATGTGTCTCGCGACCCGTGCCTCCCGCATTCCTGTGGCATTGTGGCCCTGGGACTTGGTCTTTTGTCCTCTCGCGTGCCCTGTCCGAGGACCTCCGACGGCACCGACCCTCTCCCCACCCAGGGCCAGCCTCCGATCCCGAATCGTGTGTCGACGGCCCCGTGGCCCCGCGAGGGCCCCGGAGCCCGGGAGGCCCAGGAGACATGGACAGACTGGGAATCCCGCCGCGATGGGCCCACGACGCGGGGGGCTCCGGGAGCGCTGGCCGTCGCTCCCGGCCCTCGCCCGGCCAGGAGATCGGCTTCGAGGTCATGTCCATGAGCGAGGATCCGAGCAGCGAGGCGTCGCCCGCCCACAGCCACCGCCCGTTCGGCCTCGAGCTGGGCGACTGGAACCCGAGGCTCGGGGAGAGGTCAAGTCGGGACTGTCCCCCTTACGGGGGGATTTTCGACGAAAAATAAAAGATACCCCCAGAATAGTCAAAAAATAATCCAAAAATAGTCTGGGGACTATTTTTTTAGTATTTCTGTGCCTTTTTGGTGCATTTTTGGTGTATTTCTCATTTTTCCTCGAAAACCTCCCTGTAGGGGGACAGGCCCGACTTGAGAGAAAGGGCTGGAGTGCACCCCCAGCGGCAGAGGGCCGTAAGCAGCACAGTCGAAGAGGGAAGGGGGCAGCAGTCTACAGCACTGTTCTGTTAGGGCAACGAGCAGTGACAGAAACATGAAAAGAGCGCGCCAGGGGCGGCGCCGGAGGCGCCGCCAGGGGGCCCCAGCGCGGATCCGAGAAATCCGCGCGGACCCCCGAGCTTTCATGCTTCTGTCATTGCTCGTTCCCCTGATCCTGCTCTGCAGACACGGGAGCCCACGCGGGAGCCCCACTCCGGAGACCCACTCCCTGAGGCCACTCGGGAGACCCTCCCGGCGGGAGAGACCACACGCGGCAGACCGTGCACGGGAGACCACACGGGCTGCCGATCTCGGACCTGCGGGGAGCCGGCCCAGGGAGGCCATGTTTCGGAGCTCACGGGAGGTCCTGCGGGAGACCCCGCGGGCCGCGGGCCGCCGGGGCCAGGTCCGGGAGGCGGGGGCCCACGCGGGACACCGCACGGGGGGCCGTGCGGGAGGCGGGAGGCCATGCGGGAGGGCACGGGCCACGGACCTCCAGTTCCGCACCCGGAGGAGCTCACACGCGCGTCTGAATCCTGTGAATAGATAAAGGTAACTAGCTACTTAACTCCATAAAGTATAATAAGTGAATGCATGCATGCATGAACACGTAAATGATTGCCCATATACACATCGATACATCTATATATATATATATATATATATATATGTATATATAGCTGTCTGTCTGTATGTACGCATGTATGTATGTATGCATGCATATGCATATGCATATGTATGGAGTATATGTATACGTATATGCGCAGTCCACACCGTCGTCCGTGCTGCACACCCTACTCCTGTTCCGTCCTCTTGCTACGCTTAGAATCGTACTCCTGCCTCGACTTCTGTTAACCATCATCCCATCTCCTCCTACGATCCCCCTCCAGCATACTCATTATCCTCGGGGGCTTCTCCTCCCTCCCCCTCTTCCCGTTCCTACCCCTCCTCCTGTTCCGCCTGCTCGGGGAACGATGACGAGGAGGCGAAGGAAACGATGGGAGAAGGAGGAAGAGGAGGAGGAGGCTCCTCCTCATCCTGCTCCTCCTCCTCCTTCCCCTCCTCCTCCTCCTCCTCCTCCACATGGTATACGATTGCTCCTTCTTATGTTGCTCCTATTGCTCAACCTCCTCCTCCTCCTCCTCTTAGTCGTAGTCGTAGTCGTAGTAGTAGTCGTAGTAGTAGTAGTAGTAGTAGTAGTAGTCGTAGTAGTAGTAGTAGTAGTAGTAGTAGTAGTAGTAGTAGTAGTAGTAGTAGTAGTAGTAGTAGAAGTAGTAGTAGTAGTAGTAGTAGTAGTAGTAGTAGTAGTAGTAGTAGTAGTAGTCGTAGTAGTAGTCGTAGTAGTAGTAGTAGTAGTAGTAGTAGTAGTAGTAGTAGTAGTAGTAGTAGTAGTAGTAGTAGTAGTCGTAGTCGTAGTAGTAGTAGTAGTAGTAGTAGTAGTAGTAGTAGCGTAGTAGTAGTAGTAGTAGTAGTAGTAGTAGTAGTAGTAGTAGAGTAGTAGTAGTAGTAGTAGTAGTAGTAGTAGTAGTAGTAGTAGTAGTAGTAGTAGTAGTAGTAGTAGTAGTAGTAGTAGTAGTAAATGTAGTCAGTCGTAGTAGTAGTAGTAGTAGTAGTAGTAGTAGTAGTAGTAGTAGTAGTAGTAGTAGTAGTAGTAGTAGTAGTAGTAGTAGTAGTGTAGTAGTAGTAGTAGTAGTAGTAGTAGTAGTAGTAGTAGTAGTAGTAGTAGTAGTAGTAGTAGTAGTAGTAGTAGTAGTAGTAGTAGTCGTAGTAGTAGTGTAGTAGTAGTAGTAGTAGTAGTAGTAGTAGTCGTAGTAGTAGTACGTAGTCGTAGTAGTAGTAGTAGTAGTACAGTAGTAGTAGTAGTAGTAGCGTAGTAGTAGTAGTAGTAGTAGTAGTAGTAGCAGTAGCAGTAGTAGCAGTAGTAGTAGGTAGTAGTAGTAGTAGTAGTAGTAGTAGTAGTAGAAGTAGTAGCAGAAGCAGCAGCAGCAGCAGCAGCAGCAGTAGTAGTAGTAGTAATATTATCATCATCAGCAGCATCACCATCAGTATCATCAGTATCACCAGGATCGCCATGAGTATCATCATCGCCATTGTCCTCATCATACTATCGCTATCCTCCTCCAACTCCTCCGCCTCCTCCTCCTCCTCCTCCCCCCCTCCTCCTCCTCCTCCTCCTCCTCCTCCTCCTCCTTTTCTCCCCTTCTCCTCGCATCCTCGTTCCCTTCCTCTTCCGCCTCCCCCTCTCCTCCTTCTCTTCCTCCTTCTCCTCCTGCTCCTCCTCCTCTTCCTCCTCCTCCTCGTACCCACCCTTCTTCTTCCTCTGAGAACTCGGAAGAAGATTAATATGATGGGACAGAAGAGGAAGGCGAGAGCAGGGGGGAGAGGAGGAGAAGTAGTTGGACTCCTCCGCCCTCCTCACCCCAATCCCTCCTTGGAGTAGGGAGGAAGAGGAGGAGGAGGAGGAGGAGGAGGAGCGAGGAGGAGCGAGGAGGAGAGGATGAGGAGAGGAGGAGGAGGAGGAGGGGTCTGTAGGAGGAGGAGGTGGTATGGTAGCAAAAGGAAGAGGGGACAGCTGATTATGTAGTATTACTGATCATTTAGAACTGAGTAGTAGTCACCTCAGTAGCATGAGTACTAGTCTTCGTAGTCGTAGTAGTGGTGGAGATAGTGCAGGAGAAGGAGGAGGAATAACAGGAGGAGGACGAGCCGGAGGAGGAGGAAAAGGAGGAGAGCGGAGGAGGATAAGGTTCGTCCTCATCCTCCTCTTCTTCCTCCTTCCTCCCTCCTCCAAGGCCGCTGGTTCCACATCTGTTTTGTGTGTTCGTGCTCCCGCCCTTCGACGAGGAAGAGAAAAAGCGAGAGAGAGAGAGAAAAAAAAAAACAAAAAAACACAAAAAAAACAAAAACAAAAAAAAAGCGAGAGAAAGAACGAAAGAAAGAAACAGAGATAGAGAAATAGATAATAGATAGAAGAGAGAGAGAGAGAGAGATTATAGTTTTGGTGGATATTCCGACCGAACGTTGCTATAAAATATGCCATTCGGATGGGGAAACGCGTGTTGGCCAGTGTTCTGGAGCCGCTTACGTGGTGCAGGCGAGGGTCTGGAAGGAGGGTGTGGTGAGCAACAGTGTATTGGCCATGGGTGGGGTATACATGGATGGAGTCGCCTGCGTCGCCCCTTTATGCGGAGACGGTCGCTTTAGCGGAATGCACGTCTTGTGTTTGCAGATTGTTGCACAATGCTGCACATCGGTAGATTGTAGCAGACTGCCAGTGATTGAGGTGCTCTAGGCTTTGCTGAATGAATGAATGAATGAATGAGTGAGATAATCACAAAGAGAGGGAGAGGGAGAGGGATATAAATACATGTAGAGAGATATTGAGAGAGAGCGCGGGGCAGAGAGAGAGAGAGAGAGACTCGAGGGAGCAACAATCCCTCCTCTCTCTCATCTCCTCGATGGTCAGTGCTTTCTTGTCGTACAGCTGTCCCCTTCCTATGTCTGTCTCTCCTCATCCTCCAGCTGCTCCTGCTGCTCCATATCCTCCTCCTCGTTGTGAAACGCTCCTCATCCTGCTAGTCCACCTCCTCCCCCCCTCCTCCTCCTCCTCCTCCTCCTCCTCCTCCTCCTCCTCCCGCTGTTTCCGGAGAGCGTGGGGGGAGAGAGAGAGAGAGGGATTCAAGGGAGCAGCGATCCTTGTGAAATCACCTAGGATGTTGGGGGCACCATGGATTCTGTATAGCCTCCAGCGAGGATCCACACGGCAGCCCTCCGGAGCTCTGAACCGCAGAGATCCAGATGAAGCCACCGGGCTTCCGAGACCGGAGGGCGCCAAACCATGTGATTTCGTATGGATGCTTCGGACTGCTGGGAGGAGAGACGAGAGGCCCCGGAGCCACTTGACGTCGTGTGGATGCTGGGGATGTCCGGGGTGGCTCTGCAGCCTCCAGCGAGAAAGCTGCAGCCCTCCAGGGCTCGGAATCCCAGAAATCCAGATGAAGTCACCGGGGGCGTGCGAGACCCGAGGGCGCCAACCCTGGTGATGTCATCTGGCTCTGTTGGACTTCTGGGATGAGAAAACCCCAGAAGCCACGCGATGTCACTGGGATGTTTGAATTTGGGGGGGGATGCAGAACCTCAGAGGACTGCCGCGTGGATTTTCGCCAGAGGGTGCAAAAACCCAGCAACCAAATCATCCACATGAGAGCGCTGGGTTTCTGGGATGCTCCTCCCAGAAATCCGAGAAGGGCACATGAAATTACAGGGGGGGGCGCCCTCTGATCTCGCAGACCCTGTGCTTCCAATATGGGATTTCTGAGCCTCGGAGCTCGGGAGTGCTGGAGCGTGGAGTCGAATTGGAGAAATCACAGGAATCAGCCGAATTTACATGAAATCATGTGGTTTCTGGGATTTCTCGCCCCGGAAGAAAATCCCCAAATCCAAGTGTAATAACAAGGTGTGGCGCCTCTTGGTTTCGCGAACGCTGTAATTTCACAGGGATCGCTGCTCCCTTGAACCTCTTTCTCTCTCTCTCTCTCTCTCTCTCTCTTTCTCTGCCTCATCGGAAGAGAAGGGGGAGGAGGAGGAGGAGGAGGAGGAGGAGGAGGAGGAGGAGGAGGTGGAGCAGCAGCAGCAGGAGGAGGAGGGCCGCAGCAGCAGGGAGCAGCAACAGGAAGAGGAGGATGCGGAGGAAGAGGACGCAGAACAGGAGGATGAGAAGAGAAACGAAAGGGGAGAGGAGAGAAAACCACCGTCAAAAGAAAAGAATACGATTAATGAGTGCTTGGGGGGGCTGTCCATGCATACATCTGTGTATATACATGCACATACCATATATATAAATATACATACATACATACATATCAGAGTGAGGGGGCCGAACGGTCATTCACTGTCCCTGGGTGCGTGGCTGAAGTGAAATTCTGCGGTGCGGATTCTCGTTGTTGTTATTGTTGTTGTTGTTTTTGGTGTTGTTGTTGTTGTTGCTGCTGCTGTTGTTGTTGTTGTTGTGGTTGTTGTTGTTGTTGGTGGTGGTGGTGGTGGTGGTGTTGTTGTTGTTGCTGCTGTTGCTGTTGCTGTTGTTGTTGTTGTTGTTGCTGTTGTTGTTGTTGTTGTTGTTGTTTGTTGTTGTTTGTTGTCGTCGTCCCACCCGCGACCCACCCCGCGACCCACCCGCGACCCACCCCGCGACCCACCCCGCGACCCACCCGCGACCCACCCGCGACCCACCCGCGACCCACCCCGCGACCCCACCCGCGACCCTCCCCGCGACCCACCCCGCGACCCACCCCGCGGCCCCCCCGACCCACCCCGCGACCCGCCCCGCGACCCACCCGCGACCCACCCGCGACCCACCCGCGACCCACCCGCGACCCACCCGCGACCTACCCCGCGACCCACCCGCGACCCAACCCAAACCACGTTCAAGGTACAAACCACCATTTTCGGCGCCTGCGGCGGGCTTTTTTGCATTCCTTCCAGGTGGAGAGCCCGCGACCCACCCCGTGACCAACTCGCGACCAACCCGCGACCCAAACCACGTTCAGGGTACAAACCAATTTTTTCGGCGCTTGCGGCGGGCATCTTTTGCATTCGTTTCAGGTGGAGAGCCCGCGGCCCACCCGCGACCACGTTCAGGGTACAAACCAATTTTTGTCGGCGCCTGCGGCGGGCATCTTTTGCATGCGTTCCAGGTGGAGAACCCGCGGCCCACCCGCGACCCAAACCACGTTCAGTGTACAAACGATTTGGTTTGGCGCCTGCGGCGGGCTACTTTTGCATCCCTTCCAGGTGGAGGTGGAGAGCCCGCGACCCACCCGCGACCTAAACCACGTTCATTGAACAAACCAATGCCGCACAAGCGCGGCGGTGGATTTTTGCATGCCGTCTGAGCCCGCAAGGACCTCTTCAAGCCCCGCGCATCCACACCAGCCCGTCCAGCAACTCTGCCCTGGCGAGTTGCCTTGATCAGAGAAGGCGGGGAGCATAAAGTGGAAAAAAGGATTGCGTTGCAGTTATCTTGGGAAAGGAGGGGGAGGCAGGAGGAGTAAACAGGGGACGAGGAGAACGCGGAAGAAGAGAGGATGTAAGGAGAATGTGGAGAAAGAAAAGGAGGAGGAGCAGGAGGACGAGGAGGGGGAGGAGGGGGAGGAGGAGGAGATGATGATGATGATGATGATGATGATGATTGGATGATGGATGGATGATGAGATGACGGACGACAATGGGAGGACGATGATGAAAGGACGAGGGGGGGAGAGGGAGGACGAGGAAGAAGAGGAGGAGGAGGAGGGGAGGAGGAGGATGACGATGACGATGAGGACGAGGACGAGGAGGAAGAGGAGGAGGAGGAGGAGGAGGAGGAGAGCGCCATCGACAGGGAAGGTGGGGGCCACGAGGTCCGCCGGCTCGACGACGCCCGCGTCGCCCGCGCCCGCCCCCTCACTCTTATCCGCAATTGCGAGGTGCTACGTATATGTATGTGTGTACAGCTAAACGTGTATGCGTATATAATACGTATACAGGAGCGGTAGGCTGCTCAGGGAGGACAAACAAGAGGACGGCCTCGGGAACGACGACGGCGCTGGCGACGACCACGACGGCGGCGGCGACGACATCGGCGTGGGGGGGAGGCTCTCCACTATGTCTGAGGCATCTGGACATTCGGGGTGTTCCCCCCGTCTGTGTCCCACCGCTGGTGGTGTGGAGGTCCTCCCAGGCGCGCTGCGCGCCCTGCCAGGCAGCTGCCCCCCTCCCCCCCCCCTGCGGCTGCCACACGTGTTTCCGCGATACCCCGCGAGGCGCCTCTTCCCGGTGCTGCCGCCTCCGAGCCGCGAGGCGTCCGTGGATCGCCACGAGCGGCTCGGCACCATCGCCGCGCGGCCAGACATGGGACCGTCCTTGGACCTGCAGGTGATCGTTTTTTCACTCATTGTTTCGCCGATCGGCGCGGGCCCTTGCACCCATTCCCCATCCCCCCCCCCGCCATGGAGTAGGGCTCGGCTGGTTTGGGCGCCCGTTTCAAGCAGGTGGACGACTCCCCACAGGATCTTCCCCACTGGAGCCCTGCTCCGAGCAGTCTCGCCAAGCAGAGGTCCCGAGCCCGACCCCCCCCCTCCCCTCCCCCCTCCGCCCAATGCCGAAACGCCGCATAAGAAAACGTTCGCCAGGGGCTGGACGACGAGACGCACCAGGTCGGCAGCGAGGGGCCGACGCCCCGGAGACGAGCAGACCTCGCGGGCCCTGCCCAGACTCCGCGCCGCCGGCTCCCGCGCCGCTGGCAGACCTGCCTGGCATGGTATTCCTCGCTCTGCGCCAAGGACAACCTGCCGTGACGCGAGGGCCCCCAGGCCATCGCAGATGAGGTGGTCAGAGGAGGGCGAGTCGAGACAACTCTAGGCCGCCTGTGTCGGGGGTGGACAGGCCTCCTACCCTGACACGTCGATTCAGGAATTGGCCGTTTTCGGTTCGCGGGAGGGCGTCGCGGCCGTCATTTTTGCGGGTCCGGGTCCGTCGGTTTCGGTCCCAGGCCGTTTTCACTAAGGGGAGGTCTGCTAAAGGAAGGTTTGTCCACCGCCGAATGAGTTGGTCAGAGGAGGGCGAGTCGAGACAACTCTAGGCCGCCTATGGGGTCGGAGCAGATGTGTTCGGAGGGTCCCGCATCGCCGATGCACCGGCGATGCATCGGCGATGCGGCTCGATGTGGGGCCCAAGTTTCTCCACGCCGACGTCGGCGATGCAACGCCGACGTGGCCAGTGCATGGCCGATGCATCGCCGATGCGGAGAGCTCCTCCGACCCGGCGAGCTCCTCCGACCCCATCTATTCGGACCCCATTTTGGCGGCCTCTAGACAACGGTGGTTGGCTCTCGGGGTGCCCCCTCGTCGCCACGGCTGGACGCAGCTCGGAAAATTGGTGCGGTTGGACCTTGGGAGGGTTCCGACCGGTTTTGAGCCGCCGTTGTCTCAATTCGCTTTGCTACGAGGTGGGTGGGCGGCGTGCTTCAGCGCAAGGTGGCCGCACCATTGCAAGTGAAGTGGTGGGCCGCGTGCTTCAGCGCAAGGCGGCCGCTGCTGGCTGTCTACGAAGCGGCAACTCGGTGCAGCCTGCCGTGAGAGTTGCCGCGCCATCGCAACTGAGGCAGTTTCGGCCGTGTGCTCATGCGCAAGGTGGCCGCTGTTGGCTGCATATGAAGCGACACGTCGGACACGGCGAATGTAAAATCACATGAGAAGTTGACATACCGAAGCGGCCAGGGGAGCGGTCAAACACGCTCGGTTGCCGTTGCAGGTGCGCCCTTTCAAATGAGAGTGGGATTGTGTCCGGAAGACCGTTGGTAGCTGGGCGCCAACCAGATAGTGTCTTACCCAAGTGTGCTGGACTTCAAACCTTTTCGCAGGGATCTGCCCACAGCTCAGGCTTCGGGAATACAAAGCTTGACACTGAGGCGTTGAACAGTTCGCAGCACACCGAAAGAGCGCGCAGCAATCATCGGTATGTCGGACTCGGGCGTGTGCGAATGTGGGACAGACGAAGCCTTCTTCATGTAGGTAGAGCACGGGGGCGAAACCGAGCAGCCGAAAGGGAGTGATAAAGAGGATGGGAAGATATATGGGGTCCAAAATGGTGGGCGCGGAGTGGTAGGAGGGGGGGCAGAAACCACCACGCTTGGGGATGTAGCTAAGGTGGTTCTTCGACAACCAGCGCACGGGCACAGCGTTGCACTACTGGGCCGTGCCCGCTGGAGCATTTGGTGGCCAAGACGCTGCATCGCCAAGAAATGCTGGACGGCGAGGCCCCCAGTGCCACCATCGGGGCCCACGTCGCACCACGGCACAAGTGGAGGCTACGCGCGAACAAGCGCACGCACATTGCCCACAGTACCGCTGGTTGCCCGGCGCATGCCACCAGCCGCAGAGGCCCGCGCGGCACGCGGGATGGTAACAGCAGAGTTTTCGTTTGTTCGAGCTTCAAGCGTGAGGCCGAAGGAGGCCAGACGGAACCCGCGCTCAGCGATTGCCACAACGCCGACACTTCGCGAACACGACCGCCACGTAATTTGACCGATGCTTAGCAAAACGACACTCTCACACACACACACACGCACACACACACACACACACACACACACACACACGCGCGCGCGCGCGCGCGCAACACTCACACGCATACATGCAGACGCATACACAACCAAGCACGCACACATCACAACTAACACATAATGCACAACAAGCACACACACACACACACCACACACACACACACACTGTCTCCGACTCGCTGACCCAGCCAACGGTGACAGCTGTGGGGACGCCCGCAACTAGAAGTCACTTCTTTGTGGGGAGCGTGGCCAGATGAAACTCCAGGAAGCGCACATTCGCGAAACCAGGGCAGAACCAGGCGATGCAGATCAGGGCGGCAGAGACAGAGGCAACTGGGGGAAAGATGTACGTGCGCCGAGCGCCACTACACCGATATGGAGCGCAAGTTGTGCCTGGCAGCGAATGACTTTTTCGTTTCCGCCGCCACTGCCTCTGGACAGTGCAAAAGTCTCCCACGGTGCCTGCCCTGGACCCGAGAGCAGCTCGTTCGAAGGTCCGCGGACTTCTCCTTACTCCTTCCCTCCCGCCTTCGCAGGAGCACGCTCCCAGCGCACTCAGACGCTGTTTCTTCTGCGCCTCCAGTGGACCTCGAAGGATGCGCAGTTCAAATGGGTACGCCGAGCGAGCGGCCTCTTACACTGTTTTCTTGCTGCTGCTTCTCGTGGTCCTCCCATTTTTTAGGCACGCTATTGGGCCGTCCCCATTGATCCTACCCCCGAGTCTCTTTCGTCTTCTCCACCCGAGAGTCGCGCCCTCTCGAGGGTCCACGCAATATTCCTCCCTGTCCCCAGACCCCCTCGCGCGGTGAAAAAAACAAAAAACAAAAAAAACAAAAACAGACGGGAGATTTCTCCATATGTTCGGCCTCTGAGGGGCCCCTATTGGGCATCGGGACCGTCAAAAAACGACTCAGGATGAAAAACCGGTCCTGGGGAATGGGTCCAGACTTGTGCGGGTCGACGTCGTGAGAGAATGATGACGTCGGGGGTTTGGGATCCGGCGTCTCGTCGGAGACCTCCCGCCGCTTTTCTGATCCTCAGGCCTGACTTGTTCCATAAGTCCACGGATGGACAGCGGCTCGTGTTCAGATCTCGGTCTTAGCGCACCCGCACTTTCGCTCTGCGGTTCAGAGCTTTGGTTTAGCGTGTCTCTCCGCCTGCTCTGGCCAACCGCGTTTCGACGCGACACGAGATCCACGTCCTGATCCCCAGGCGTCAACGTCCTGAGCTTTGATCGGCCTCCTGCGGGGCTGAGCGACACGCTATCCGCTTTAAGCGGCATAACGTTTCGCTGGAGCCGCCGCCGCGACGTGCTAACCGAAAATTCACGACCGCAGCACTCCGCGTGTTCGCTTCAAGCGTGGAGTGGCAGGCGAAACGGGGCGAACGGGAGGCCTGCGTTGATGCTTCCATACAGTGTTTGCTGGAACTTTTCTGTCGCACTTCTGCCCGATATGATCGCGGTGGCTCTTCCCACTTGCGCCGCGCAACTTGCGCCAACAAAAACGTGAGGGGACAACTCGAGACAAACCTATATTTGTGTTGTGCACATATATATATATATATACATACATCTATACACATGCGCACCCCGAGGACCCTCAGCATTTTCTCTCATACTTCACCCTCGGCGAATGTAAGCTTGGATGGTTTGCGTCGGCGACCATTAAAGGTCACGTCAACTTTTCTCGAACGCAAAAGCGACGCGGATATGTCTGCAGTGATCAACGTCGCCATCCGAGAGTTCAATTGGCGAAAAGCATCATAAACAAATTGTGGCGCCGAACCCTCGTTGATGTGGCAGGCGGGAAGTGATGTAAGCACCAATGTTTCAAAGTGTTCAACTCTGTGGTGCCAAGCCGCTTGCAGCATCGAAGAGGCTTCGGCACCAAGGGATTACCAAACAATGAAGACAAGATGATGTCAGTGCACCTTCCGCCCGACGCAGCGAAGGGGGCACGAGGGGACAGCTGGGGACACGAGGGGGCGCCTCCTCTTCCAGCAGGGGCCACGAGGAGACAGCAGGGAGCACGAGGGAACACAAGGGGGCAGCGAAGGAGGAGGAGGAGGAGGAGGATAGGAGGAGGAGAAGGAGGATAAGGATATGGCGGAGGAGACGGTGAGGAGGGGATGATGTTGCACACGTGCGATTATTTTGGGTCGTGTTTCGGCGCGCATCCAGTGCACACGAGCGATTCCTTTGGGTCTTGCTTCGGCGCGTATCCATTGGAACGCAAACGTGTGGTTCCTCTCGATCGCGTTTCGCCGCGTATCCACTGGAACGCATTCGTGCGGTTCCTCGGGGTCGCGCTTCGGCGCTCATGCGCCCTGCAAAGCCACAGAACCGACGGCGCCTTCGATCGGGACGAGGCGGCCGACCTGAACAAATGCATCTACTCTTCTCTGACGCCGAACCCGCTTCGGTGCGGCAGGCGGCAAGCGCTGTAAAAACTAAAGCGCCCGATGTTGTTCGGTCTTCTGGCGCCCAACCGCACGCGACATCGAAGGGGTTGCGGCGCCGATGCTTGTTTTTTAACGATTATGCTACATCTTCCGCTTGTCGCAGCGACGGGGACACGAGGGGACAGCTACTGGAACCCGCATGAGCAACTCATCTCGCAGGCGTTGCTCCAGCGTTGTGTTCGATCAGCCTTCGGTTCCGTAGCCGCTTTGTTTCGAAAAGGCGCAGTGCAACCGACGCTTCCAAGCTCGCAGGCACGCCCCTTTTCCGCCTTCAGCGATATCGCCGTGCCAGGGCAGCGCATTGGCGAGCGCGGCGTTTTGGCGGACCCCTTCTGGTTTCCAGAAATCGATTTGCGATGGTTGGCTCTCGTTCGACACTTCGCTTGTCGCCAGTGAGATCAAACGCCGCGTTCGTTTCCTGAGTCGGTTCCCGAAATTGCCTCGGCGCCAGGCGCGAGTTGCCCGCGAGCCGCTTCGGCCCCGTGAAGACAGCCAAGGGTGGCCCGAAGCGCAGCGAGCCAGCGAAGACCTTTCACCGCCGCAGGGAAGGAAAGTCGATGACTGTTCGCTGAAGGTTTTTCCGATGGGTGGGAAGCCTGGGCACGCAGATCAAGTGGCACAGCGGGCGGGCCCAGTTCTTGACCGTCCCCCATTCATCGCCCTCCTCCTCCTCCTCCTCCTCCCCCTCCTCCTCCCCCTCCTCCTCCTCCTCCTCCTCCTCCGCCTCCTCCTCCTCCTCCTCCTCCACCTCCTCCTCCAGCCGCTGCAGCGGCCCAGACCACCCCCCTTTCCCGCGGCACTTCAGTACACTTCCTTACAAAGTCAGGTGCTTCAGCGGCATGGCTTCTCCCTCGAGGGGCTCTCCTCGCCCATGAGAGAGGGGGTCGGGGCCCCTCGCGCGAGGCGCTGGCTCCTCGCCGTGAGCGCCTTCGCCTTCCTGCAGCTGGGCGTGCTTGGCGCCCTGGTGATGGAGAGGACTCGCCCCCACGCTGAAGATGGCAACACATTCACACTTCGGACGTGCGTCTATAATCCCATGTTCCTGACGGGGGCTACGCGGGCATCGGAGGTCTCTGACGAATTCAAAAATATTGGAGCTATCATGCTGCCAGGTACCTCCCGTCGCCAGACAGAGGACACACACTCACTTTTCCTTCATCCTTATCACTGGGAACTGAGTTTCGGGTGGACGAGGGCCTCCAACAAGAGTTGCGGGGTGTCGATCTTCCTCCACCAGAGGCGCTTCCCGAGGAACTTCATTCGTAAGATTTTCACGCCGCCCAGTTTCTTAAGTGGACGTGGCGGAGCAGTACGGTTAAAATCACAGACCTCGGACGTTCTATTCATGGTGCTCTACTTCCCAACTCTTCCGTCTCTCCGCGGCGGACGTACACAGTATCGGAACGTCGTGCTGGGACTTTGCAATTGGGCGAAGTCGGTCATCAACGGAGTGGGCTCCAGGTGCACACCGTTTGTCGGCATCGATTTGAATGACCAACTGGGCTTCTGCGCAGACGACACGTTGGACGGCGAGTGCGTCACGGCCCCACGGGACACCAGTACACACGGAGCCGATTGGGACTGGGAACGGGAAGCCGACGCACACGTGGGCCCTTGTGGTGCTGAGTTGGAGCACTTCGCTGGCAAGCATTGGCACCAGGTGCTGAGGGACACGGCGCTGAGCGCGATCAACACGCACTACCCAGTTGGGCCAACGTTTCACGGGCCACTGGGACACACGTCGCGGATAGACTTTATCCACGCTCCGACGGGCTTGCTTCCTCACGTCCGAGTCTGCCGTGTTCTTCGACCTGCGGGGAGGCGGCTCCAGCCCGTGAATACCCTGGACGACAGGGACCACCGCCCCGTCTTCATGGAATGCAGCTACCGCTTCGAGGCCAGTTCTACCCAGAGGCAGTGC